CAAGTCATGCACGTTTTTTTCGTTTTCAATTGAAATTCATTAATATTAATTATATATTATTATGAAAATAAACAAGATCTATGCAAATTATGCAACACAGCTGAGACATCTAGATAAATATAAATTATAATACCAGAACACATATAAAAGCGAGTTATATAGGTACCTACCTAATTATAATAATAAATAATAATGTGTTTATTTCAAATATGTATATATAAATTATGATAGTTTCAAGTTTAACATTTCCATAGTGTTCTTATACAAAGTCAACAATAATTTGAAATGATTTGAGAACTGACTACTGCTTTAGTCAGTACAGGTTAGGTTTATAGTAACAAAAGCAACTCCAGAAGATCAACTATACTTCTATATTCTATGCCCACTGCTCAAAATAAACATCTTTGTAAAACAATATATATATACATATATGTTAGTGGCAATGTGTATAATATTGGTATTTTATATAATGTCTAGGAATTCTATATAACACCAAATACAGCCGGCAATCTATAAAATTGTTTAAATTACCTAAGCATTATATGAAATGCCAAACAATGTATAGGTAATATATTAAATCCAAATATTCAGTACCTATTGATAATTGACAATATATAAATCCATAAGTAATCTGTAATCTGTAATCTATAAAGTAGAATTCCGACTGCCGACAGATAACGCGATAATTTTGTCACCGTAGTCATATACTCTAATAATAACTTACAAATTATTTTTTTTTTAATTTTTATGCATTATATTCTGTAATATTAATGATACCTACTTTGTAATAAATATTTTTTTGTGCACTAATACAATTAATAATTGTCTTAATTATGATAAAAGGAAATCTATTAATTTGGGTTATATCACTATTCTACAGATTGCCAATTTGTTGTTTGTCGTTTTATGAAATGTCTAGTTATTATACAAAATATTTAGGAAATGTGTGTAAAAAAAAATTTACTATACACTTTTTTAAAAACCACCAGGTATTATATAGAATTCCTAGGCATTTTATATATTAAATATATTATACACATTGCCGCTAACATATATAATAATTGCTTTTAAGCCTTCAAAAAAGTGTGTACCTATAATAGCTACTACATAGTTTTAATTAAATCGGCTGAAAGACAAAATGTTACTCACTGCCCACCAGTGCCCACCCCTCCTCACTCTCTGTGTCCCATTACTTAAATGTTACAATTTACAAACATTTTAATTTAATCACACAAAAGTTTTCAGTGGTGTAATTAGGACTACGTTATGGGGGTCTGTACAGAACAAAACTTCTTTACCAGACCGGTGGCCATCACCATAGTTTTTGAAAACGGATGTTTTTGTGTTATCGCTTCGGTCTGCAAATCAAGTTTGTTTCTTGATATTTTATGAAAAGCCACACTTGGAAATATGGATTACGAGTGCGATCTCATGTAAAAAAATATTTTTTATTGCTATAAATGAAAAATATTGTACAATGACTTCAATTGACAAAATCGGACTACCGTAATCCCTACTGGCCGCTGCAACCACCTCAGATCGCTCGCGCACTGTCTGAACTTAAGTAAAAAATATTGAGTCATTTTTTGTGAAAACGTTATGAAAACGTAACAATTATGAACTATAATTATAGCTAACCAATCACGACGCGTGTGCTTAGCTTTCGAAGTTCTATAACGGTTATGATTTTCGTTTTAGATTCAAAATCGGCATACAATTTACTACCAAATAGAATTTTTGATTTAATATATTTAATATATTTTTTGTCGCGCCTGCCACGAAAGTTTTTGGTCTTCGATAGCGGTTGAAGCGTTGGAAAGTGACCTTTTTCCGTCCAGTGGGTGGTAAAGTGGATATCCCTAAAAGTGCAAGGCGGTAAAATAGAAATCCCCAAAAGTGCTGAGAGCGCTTAACACGTGTATCACACTATCCCCTACACAACCAGACACTGAAATCTATACCACGGTCCTGGCGAAACATAAGCTTTTGGTTACATCTTATATTAATTTTATAATCTCCATGCATGCGAGTATGCGACGTGTAAACATTTTTATTTCATAAATTAGCCGAACAATCTAATTGTTGCATATAGATCCCTGCATAGAGTACTTATTATACCTTTACAGTGATTACGTTTTTTTTATTCTCATTTTATGTTAATACAACAATTATTATTTATATTGAAATCTATAGGTACCATCGCGGTCCTTACAAAACATAAACTTTTGGTCACATCTTATATTCATAATATTATAACCTCCATATTATGCATGACGCTTAAAATAAATATAACCAATTTCGTTTCTTTCGTGAAATATGAATTCAGAATTATGGTCTGGTCGTTGCATAGATCCCTGAAATACCTTTGCTTTGATCGATGGCGTGACAAAAAATTGTATGTGTGGCTCGTGCGGAAAGGCAATTTCAAAAAACAATAGCTCACTTGCCAATTTACTATTTATTCAATTAAAAGGGACATTTTTATATTTTTTTTTTTTTTGATACTGTTCAAACTTACGCATAATGTAATTCACCAATATGGGCTATAATGATTACCTACTTAAGTATCGGACATTTTATAAACAAGATAGACACATTTACACTTGCAGTGTATTATATTGGAAAAATGATTGAGAGTGCTGGTTTTGATTTTGTTCATCATCAGTAGGTATATTGTATAATTGTATATTTGTAAGTACAATTTATCGAAAACAATACATTAATATCTCGTGTTAAAATTGAGTGGTACTGGATTCTATTGTAATTCCAACTAGGTCGATGGATAAGCTCGATAAATACCTTTGTATAATTTTAAAGCTTGTTAAACTTAATAAATTATGAGTTATAACATTACGGTAATGATATTAAAAAGTAAAACGATTTCTAACCAAGGTAAAAATAAAAAATATTTGTCCCATTACATTTTGACAAATTGTTCAAACAAATCTTCAAAATTTAAAGATTAATATCAATGAAAAGCAGAAATAATAGTCGTGGCTAATTTATATAGTCATTTTGATCTTGACAACACATTTGACAAATAGTTGAAGAGCACGTGTTCCCTAACGGCCCTAACTTATAAAGTTATTACAAATTGCAATAACAATTATTCCTATAAGTTCAGCTACATGTGAACGGTCGTTTTCCTCAATGCGACGTGTTAAAAATTGGCCGACGACCAATTCGTTACAAGTGATTCGGTGATTTAAACAATTTAGCAATTTTAAATATCGAATGACTCACTAATTCCAGGACAAATTTCAGACGGTTCGAATTAACAGCGAGAGAGAACGACGAGGAAAAATTATCAAATAAAATAAGGAATTAAACATGGCGATTTATTATACGACACAAAGCGGACAGATGGTGAGGGCAAAGTGTGCTCGAAATCACATGAAAACTATTGTCGGGCCTATGATGTGCAGAGATTGTGACCTTGAACTCGACTAATCCGCGTCTAAAAATGGAAATTCGGAATGACGTTTATACTAGCCCGGTGGTTTATAATAATTTTTCTCGACCACGTGTTTTTTAACGAACACTTGAAAACTATACTATATTATTGCACTGTGATAATAATATTATATTATTGAACATAATTATTAATGTCCGACAAATTATTTTAGTATATTATATTAGGTAGTATCGTATCATTATAATACACATTAAGTTGTGTTTTTTTAAAAAAAATTATTTCATCATAAAAAGATATCATATTATTTCGATTAATTAAACATAAAGTTTGAAAATTCATTGTTAACAAGTATAGTTATTATATTTTGAGTTAATTTTTTATGGTTACTGTGCACTGTCTACTAGCAGTGTTATATTATGATATTGGCAATAATGCATTTTATAAATATTGTGGGTAATGATAACGTGAAACGCAGCAACTGCATTACCATGTAAAAACTGTCAAAAATAATTCATCGGTCGCAAAATGAATAGCGTTTTTGAATTTCTAGCATAAATTTCCATCTGTTTCGGTCAAACTTGAAATCTCTTAAATTAATTGGAAAAATTACAAGAACACGAAAGTTCAATTTCCCCCCAAAAAAAAATGATTTTCGTAGGTAGTCACTCTGCTTTTCCCAGCAGGAGGGCAATATTATTATAGCGATTAGCAGTGTTTAGTGTGCGTTTGAAATATTTGTGTCCTTATAAACAATCGCTCAAACCTAACCAACTATCATACAACTACCTATACTAAATTTAGACGTCGATACTAGGCAGTAAGCTGCGGTGGCGGAAAAGTTCGGGCGAAGAAACGAGACGTGCGGTTTCCGAGAAAGCAATCTTTTCGGTGTCGCGCACTCGCTCGCGATAACGAATGACCCTCGCGTCTCGTACAACACACGTCACACACGTCACACACACACACACACACACACACACACACACACACACACAAGTATATCACATACAGTACGAGGCACAGAGAGACGTTATTATTTTTTGTTTTCCACTTCGACAACGGGTGGATCCGTTTGACCAGCATCTGAACTATTCCCAAGCACACATAGGCATCATAATTGTTACAGCTGACCTAGACGTTTTCGTTGTAAACAATTATTTTATTTGAATCGATTTGTCTGTTGACTGTTTCCAACCATTCCGGCGGACACGCGTAATCGAATCGTATCCGTCAATAATAATATTATACTAATTCTCGGCGAACACCGCCGCTTTACACACGGAGAGGACGAGTCCTGGGACTTAATAATATATATATAATAACTATTATTTCTGAACCACGCTGTATAATATAATATATAACGCGTGTATACGATGTCTAGTGTTATTATAATATATATTTTACTATAATATGCGCGAGCCGGTACGTATTGGCCGGGCCCCGGCGCCGAACAATGTTTCGGCTCTCGTTCTCTTTATTTTTTCTTTTTGGCAAACATTTTTGGCATTGATTTATTTATACACGGCGCATACCTACGTTATAATAATAATAATAATAATACATAATTCCGTTGCGTTTTACTTACACAGCGCCGGACCACTACTACGTTGTCCCACGACGACCACCAGCGGCAACATAATTCCTCGTCCCGCTCCGCCGGAACCGATGACATTTAACGCCTTTATGACCGCCGCGCGAGACTGCACCGGACGAACCTTTACAGCTGCAGTCGTCGTCGTCGTCACCAGCTGCACCGTGCACTGGCCCCCGCCGCCGCCGCCGGCGTGGTGATGGCGTTGGTGGTGGTGGTCGTGGCGGTCGCGATCACTGTACCGTCACCATCACCGTCTCGGCGCACGGTCGTCGCGTGACGTCGACCCGTCTCCATATATCGTCGCGACGACGACGCGAGATCGCTGCGCGTTCCGATCACCACCCGCACAGTATAGGTATGCTCGAAGTGTTCCGCCTCGACTGCAACACGCTTGGAGCGATGACTCTTCGTCGAAAACTATACCGCAGTGGCGTGATGCGGCCCCGCGCGTGGACTCGATCGTGGCCCGGCGGTACTCCTGCACACGCACCAATAACAACGCGACGTCTCGTCGTAGGTACACCACCGTCGGCCGGCGACGGACCACTATCGCGGCTCGAGAACGTCGGACAACGCGCGCGTGTATACACCAGGCGCCGCGTGGGTGGCGAGTGGGTACGCGACGGGTCGGGTGCGTTGACGGGAAAGCGCGAACGATGGACGATGCACTGCGATTACACCGGTCGGCGTAAGTCCCCGGCGAACGTTATCGGCGCGACGACGTCTGTAACGGTATTATTCGTATATTATACCGTGGTAGTCGTATAGTGCGGCGGCGCGCTACGCTAATTGGGTACCTATATTATTATTATTATTTATGTACTAAAATTATAATCACCTACGGGTAACAACGCGTCACGCGTCTGTATGTTATTATATTATATTATATTGTTGTGATGCCGACGTGACGGTAACGCGGATAGTCGTATTATACGCGAGTCGGACGCCGCGCGTTAATAATAAAACGACCGGGCCGCCGCCGTGCGTTACGGAAGACGTTCGCGCGCGCCAGATAGCCAAGCAGCAGCAGCAAGCGATCGGCGACGACGACGACGACGGACGTCGGGACGCCTCTATTTATATAAACGAGCGACGGAGACGGCGGCAACGGCACCAACGTTAAACAGACACGCGCGCACCACACACACTAAAGCTGTGTGTAAAGCGGCCGAGCGCTGCCGCCGCCGCCGCCGTCGTTGTGCGCCTACGCCGGACGCTGATGGCGGCGGCGGCGGTGGCTGCGCTAGGGAGTCTGCGCGCGCCCTAGAGAGATGAGCCGTGGCCGCCACCGCCGCCGCCGTCGCCTTATGTTTGTGTGCGCCCGATTGTATATGTGGGTCAAGAGCCACGGCGCGCGTTTAACTCGTTCCAATTAATAGAACTATACATATATCGCGTTGGGTGCAATTCGCATATTATTATGTGTAGCGCGCGCGCGACACATCGAAACTATATATTACGCATTTCATATCCAATATTATTGCTCGATTTGGCACTTTTCTGCGAATCGGATGAATTCTATACATTGACAGCTAGGGATTGTGCGGGGCCCGACACAAAAAATATGCGTATGTCAAAGAAAAGATGACTCCGCTGTGCGGTGTGCATGCAACTTGGGGCCAGTATAAGTTGTACCGTCTACGGTCACACTTAATCAGCTGACAACGCATTTTACGACCGGGCAAATTCGGCCGATTAAACTTTGGTAGACTTTAATCGGAGATGGTGCCTACAATTATACAACGCTCCAAAAATAATACGATTGTTACGATAATAATATACCGCAATAAAGGATTAACGCCACTGTAGGTCGTCGTTGTACGGTTGTAAACGTGCGTAGTGTACTCAATGGCAATACGTTGGTGGTAGGTCGACGACGACGACAGAAAAAAAAAAACAAAAAGGTTCGGTCGCTCGCTGCCGCGTGCCGCCGATCATCCGTCGGGCGGACGGAAATTTTTTTCCCCCGTTCGTCTCCGCTCGGGTTCTCGCCAAAAACGATTATTGCGCGGCCTATCCGACGACGTTTGTTTTCATTTGATCGCACACATTGTTACACGCGTAAAAAACAATAGTTTATTCGTACCGACGTATATAATTATTATATATTATAAAATATTATAGAGACATATGCCGTACATACCCTTGGAAATCGCAATAATCGCCGCGATTACTCTTTTTTTTGTTGCTATTTTGAACTTCTTCTCATCCGGTAACGCAGCGAAACTTCGACGAGCAAACGTGCACAATGGCTTTAAATTATTTATAAAGTGTTTAAAGTTCGAAGAGAATAGGAGCTATATATAGGAGTAGTACGTTACAACTTACAATTCCCTGTAGAGTATATAGAGTATAATATAGGTAACTAAATAAACTATACAAGTAGGTATATAACTGTTCTCGTCTGAACTATTCAAAAATGCATTCATATTTATATTTATAACATGCTAATATGTCATGACTCATGAACTTCGAAATTATACTGGGTTAGGACTCCATACTAAATATTATTATTTTCGGAAACTCAATCCACTAAAAAATATGATAGTAGAAAAGGAAAATCATATACCTAAAATCTACATACTTTACAAAATTTTGGAAATCGTTGTCTCGAGGCCACGCTCTTTCAATTACGATCTTATATTAATACATAATATGTATAAATATAAGATAAAGTAATAGATGTATTACACATATTAAAGTCTTGTAAAGTATAGGTATTCGAATAATTTCTATATTTGAATACATATTCTTATAATATTTTTTGTATTTTTTTATTCATTAAGAAATACTTATTAAAACTCTAAAAATTGTTTATATTTGCGACAAAACATATTTTTCATTTAAAAATCTGGCACATTATAAGTTATAAACGATCGTTTTTTCTCTTTGGATAAATTATATGATTGTCCCACGTTAATTTCCAACCAATCCAAAATTGACGAATAAATTGAATAATTTTATATATTGTTTTAAATGTATTCGAATACATTAATATTACTCATTTATTCCGAATACAAAATATAAGGAATTCTTTACAAGACTGGACTTTATAGGTATGGTATGGTATTATATATATCTCTTCCTATTGTAGAGTATTATTATATTTATTAGAAACGTCAATATACAGACGTCAAACATAGGTACCTACAGTAATAATTATTTATAATACTAAAATTGATGTTGTACATTTTCTTTTCTCTTCAATTTATTACTATAGGTACATTGTAATTTGTCTCGTTCGCCTACACACATCATAATAATATGAGTATATGACAGACGATTTCAAATCCATCGTCGACAGGCAATATTTTCCAAGCAATCTGCATCCGAGTTATTGAAAAGATCGTTTTTACGACCAGTATACCGCGCATATTATATTACACACAATATAATATTGGTACAGTGATTTTATACATTTATCGAATACTTAGTAATTTAGATGATTTTTTTTTACATTTATTGGATTATATACAATCTGTAATAGTATTTATAATAAGCATATGAAGACACCGATGCAATAAGCAGGTATGTCCAATTTTTTTTAAAAAAAGGGGTTTTTATACAGGAAATCGCAGGAAAGGAAGAAAAATTATGGGATAGGAAAAAGGTATACATCAACTGCGCCGATCGAAATTCCAATGTTATAAATTGTGTACGTCGATCGCGCTGATCGATTCTTAAATATATATATATGTCTATAATACTATTACTATTATAACTACTTATCGGTTTTTACGTGTTTTAATCTAATATATCTATATCGTATATCTATATCATAGGTAAGTTTGAATTATATTATTTTATTACTTTGAGATAAAACAAATTACAAAATGTTGACAAATACCATGTTAGGTTATAGGTGAATCCATAGTATTGTGCAGTACAATTCCATGCATTGTTCGTATAGTCGTTCGTTTAGTTGTCGTGGCTCGTACTTAAATTTATAATGGAAATTGTATTAAGTGAACGTGGTAATTAACCTAACCTAACCTTTAAAGAACTCATTATTTACCAAAATTATAAATTTTCTTATAAGGAACTTATCAAAAAAGGGCATAAATGGCATAATGCGCACACAAAAGTTGCAACTCTAAGCTGTATACGTAGATGAGAGTAAAACTACAATTTTATTTGAAGAAATTAAACATGAACATCATCTTCCTAATAACCTGGAACGTCAAATTATATCAAATCAGGTGAAAAGAAAAGCAATGGACGATTTAACTGAAAAGCCGTTAAAAATAATAAGTAAGGAAATAACTAATCGTTTAACAAACAACCTTAAAACCGACGATATTTCAAATATAAGACAACATTTATATAGAGCTAGACGAAAAAATACTCCAACATTACCCACAAATTTGAGAGAAACCCAAGAAGCTTTACTTAGCATTCCAACACTTTGAATAAAGACGAAGAATTTTTATTAATAAACCATTCTGAAAACAAAATAACGTCATTTTCAACAATGGCTAGTTTAAAATTTCTCTGTAGTCAAGAAAAAATATTTATGGACGGGACATTTTCTTACTGTTCCAAATATTTTTATCAATTATTCACAATCCATACAGTTAAAAACGGTCATCATATTCCATAAGTTTTTTTCTTTTGCCAAATAAAGAAACTAAAATTTACGAACAAGCATTTAATAGTTTCATTGAGGTATATAAATCAAAATTGTCTGTACATTTTCAACCAAAAATTTGCATTGTAGATTTTGAGCGAAGCATACATAATAAGGCTGTTTTTACTGTTTGGCCGAATATAATATTACGTGGTTGCCGATTTCACCTCTCCCAATCATGGTGGAGAAAAATCCAAAATTTAGGCTTATCTTCAGAATATAAAAATCATTCGAGTGACATTGGAAAATGGTTAAAGTGGATATTCAGCCTACCACTACTTGAACCTGAAAACTTCGGCAGTTGCTTCGCGGTTGATTTTATGAGGATTAAACCAATGGACGAACAAATTGATACTTTTTGCGATTACCTTGTTCATAAATATATTGGTGAAGATGCAACTTTCTTACCGTGTCTT